CCCGGTTTGTGGTCATTTGTTACAGCAGCTAGAGGAACCTAGTACAGGTTTCAGTAGGTGCTGGAGTGTGTCAGGGGCTTGGTAGATGCTGACTGACTGAATACCTTGAGTGTTAAGTGGGGTGTGCATGAGAGTGAGGGAACATTACCTGTCCAAGTAACAGAGTCCTTTTTCTTTTCTTTTTTTAAAGAGAGATTTTTGCTATAGGGCATGTGTGCTCACGGGAGAGAGAGAGAGAGGGAGAGGGAGAGAGACAGAGGGAGACAGAGACAGAAAGCAAGAAATCACCCCCCGGGGGGATTGCCATGTTACACTCTCTTCTCTCCCATTCTCCTCTCAGGATTTTGGGCACGAATGCACACATGTGCCCAGTGTGAGTTGTAAGCTATCAGGTCTGGAACTCGAACCGTGGCTGACTACGTGGGGGCCCAGTGATGTAACCATTATGTTATCTACTGCTCCATCTTTTTTTTTTTTTTAAGTTTATTCATTTCTTCCATGACTGAGAGAGACAGAGACAGAGAGAGAATGCCCACAACAGGATCCTGGTGCAGTCCACCCTCATCTTCAGCCAGTCCCAGGTCATGGTCATGAAGACCATGATCTGATATACTTCGGGAGGTCTCTGGACTCGAACTGGGAACCTCCCCATGTGGGTTTGCCTTACAGAGCTTCACAAAAACCAGCCTTCGCCTGTGCCTTAAACCCCCCACCCTGTGCCTACTGTGTCTCCTCCTTGCCATGCCTCTGGTGAGGTGGTACCTGGGAGTAGGGGGTCTCACTGTGACGCCTGAGCAGCCTCCTCCCCTCAGTAACTACTGGGAAGGGGAGGAAATGCATGTGAAGGACAGAGTGACATCCCCTCCAGGGAGGCCCAAGGTCAGACTTGAGGTGAGACCCAGTCCCCCCACACTGGCCTCCTCTCCTTCCTGCGAAGACACTCTGGCAGCAGGAAAATGGACATCCTGTGTCCTTATCCCTACCTTTGCCACCAGGAAGTCCTTCCCTTTGTCCAACCTCAGTCTTCCTGCTGCACGCTGAGTGTGTTTCCTCTTGGCCCCGAGCGCAGAGCAGCTGTGAAGGAACCGGCCCTGGGCGCTAAGCCAGCCAGGTGGGGCACTTGGGCTCCAAGTCCTGCCTCTGCTTCGCAGAGAGGGTGGAAAGGGCGGAGATCTGGGGGCTCACGTGTTCTGTGTCCCTGCTCCTCAAAGCTCATGTGACCTGCACTGACAAGCCCCACAGAGACCCAGGAGGTGTGCGTGAGTGTCTACCTGCAGGTCAAGAAACAGGCTTACACAGCAATACCCACCAGGAGGTAGCAAGGTGGGGTAGGCTCCCTCCTGGTCAGCCTGCTCCCTGTCTACCAGCCTCCGGTACACTCCCACTCTAGGTTTTCTGCAGGGTGGCCTCAGGGTGCCTGCCCATGGGATCTGTCTGGAATGACGCCACATCTGCCCGGAGCCAGGTGAGCTCAGGAAACATCCAGAACAAACAACCTCACCCTCCACCTTGCAGGCAATAAATTTGTCGGGGCTGCAGTGCTGGCCTCGGCGGTGTGGCCAGCTTCCTGGCTAGAGGAGCCTGGACAGAGGTAGGAGGCAGGTCTTGTACTGTGTGGAATTGCAGGCCTTATTCTGTGGGGACCCAGGCTCAGGGCATTTGTAGGACTTGTGGAGGGTCCCTTGGGAAGGTGTCTTGAAGTTGGGGTTCTGCAGACGCTCTACCCCTCAGCCATGTGGTAGGGTGACTTAAGCTTTCTCGAGGCCCCTCCAGGGTTGGGCCAGAAATGCTAGGTGACTGAGATGGCTTTGTCCAGAGCCCTTGGGAGGGGGTCCCTGGCTATGGCAGGCCTGTTACTGGGGTCAAAGGAGAGACTCACACGTGGAGGCCCCACCCAGAAGCTCTAAGGCAGCGCCTTCTCCCTTCCTGGGCCACCCAGGCTGGGCTGACCTCCCCTCCCACACTGCTGTGAGGACAACAGGAAGCTGCCTAGGGACAGAGGACTTCTGTTCCCCAGCCTGAGCGCCTGCTGCCCACACCCCTGTGCTACCTCTGGCCAGAGCTACCCAGGATGATCATGGAGGGGCTGCTAGCTGCCTATGAGGGGGTCGGCCCAGGCCCAGCAGTTGCCTCCAGAGGCCCAGCCGAGGAGGATGGGGCTTACAGGTCTCCTGGCCTTGGTCCTGCGCTGGTGCTGCCCCTCGTTCTGCCTGCGCTCTGAATCCTGTTCTGAGCGTCTGTCTTGGCATTTCTCTGTGGTTTTGCACTTTCCTTGGACCCTTGTCTGGGTGTTCACACCTCTCCTGTCTCTGTGCTTTTTGGCACCTGTTTCTCTCATCTCCCTCTGTCTCTTTCTGTGTACGTCTTTGTCTCTGCTTGTCCACCCCCCCCCTCCTTCCAGTGGGATTAACTCCAGATGCTGGAGGTGCCTGGAAGAAAGACTGTTTCCCTTCCCAGCCCAGTGCCCACCCCCTGCATGGTTGCATTTTGTTCTGGGAAATAAACAGCATGAGGTCAGCCGCCCAGGAATTTGGAAGGGGGTATACATTCTCAAGGGCCCCCAGTGGCGCCAGGGCAGGATGCTGGCTGGGCTCCACTAGCTGAAGTTAACAGTGCGTGGGTTAGTGGTGACCAGCTGGGAGAAGGACAGAGAGGGGCCGAGTGGTGGCCTGGCCAGCTGTGCTGTGGGGCTCGGCTAGAGCCAGGCACAGCTTGATAGAGTAGACTAATGAAGAACTCCATGACCGGCATACAGACCTGATGAATTCATTCATTCGGCCAATGTGGAAAGAATACATCAACGCTAGGTTTAGTAGGTGCCGTAGTGGTTAAGGTACTGGACTCCCACCTAGCTGACCACTGGTTAAGTCCTGGACTTGGCTTGAAACTCACACCAGGTGCATGTACGTGTGTGCCCAAGATCCTGAGAGGAGAATGGAGGAGAAGGGGCTGTGGTGTGGCCATCCCCCCTGCAGGGTGATTTCTCACTTTCTGTCTCTCTGTCTCTCTCTGGTGAGTGCATGTACCTGTAGCAAAGCTACAGAAACCACATTCAGCAAGTATTGTACAGATTAATGAGTTAACATGCATTTATGGAGTGCCAGCTGTGTCTGGGCCTATGGTAGGTGCTTCGAAGTCAGACCAGAGCATACTGATTTTAAATGATGAGAACGCAATTGAGAAAATGATCTGACTCAGGAAGGTGCCCTGGGATGCGGCCCACTGGGTGGGCAGGTTCTCGGGGAGTGGGTGGATGAGGCTCGGCCACATCACCAATGGCGGCTGATGACTGTGTAGAGTGAGGGTGAAGCTGCTGCGTTTTTGTCCAGCAAGGCCTTGCGCAGGCTGCCAACCTTCCTGCAGGCTAGCAAGAGCCAGGTATAGTCTGCTCCGCCTGCTGTGGAAACAGACCCCACGCTGGGCGGCTGCAACAACACGACTTGACGCTCTGTTCTGGAGGCTGGAAGTCCAAGTTTGAGGCGTCGGCAGGGTTGCTTTCTTCTGAAGCTGAGAGGCAGAATTTCTTTCTGGCCTCTCTGTGTGGCTTGTGAATGGCTGACATCTCCCTGCCTTCATCACCCTCTTCCCTCTGTGTCCAACTGTCCCATTTTCATGAGGGATCAGGGCCGGTATATTGGATCAGGGCCCACTGTCATGACCTCATTTTAACTCGATTGCTTCTTGTAAAGACTCTGTCTCCAAATAAGGTCATATTCCGAGGTTTTGGAGATTTGGACTCCAATATGTCTTTCCCGGAGGGCACATAATACATTGGATGACCCCAGGGGTCCCTCCGGTGGCAGAAGGCTGGCCACCCTGGACTTCCTGAAGGGATGGGTGGGTGTCCACTTGGCACACCCAGACAGGGTTTGCAAGGCAGTTCTGACGTGACTTCCACCAACATGTTCAGCTCCTTGGGGACTTGAGTGCCCCATGCCACAGGGAATGTGAGCTTAGGCCTTGGGGAGGTGAAGTAGACGTGTCCACCCAGGGACCTCTGGGTGCTGTGAGAAGAGTCCTGGCCAGTGAGTTGGCAGAACTGGGAAAGGGTGTTCCGGATGCATGTAATAGCTTGAGCTGAGGTCCCCAGGCAGGAGGGGATGCCTGAGTGTGGGATGGATGTGGTGGCTGTGGGGTGGCTAGGGTGATCTGGCCAGTTGGCGAGCCACGGAACAGCTTGGAGTTGGTCTAGCCCCAGGCTTGCATACAATGACACTGCTCAGTGGGCAGTGGCACTGCCACTGCCAGGAAGGCTTTGGGGTGCCTTAACCTGCCCAGAGCTGTGGGTCCGAGGAACTCAGTGGCCCTATAGGGGCAACTGGCCACTCCCGAGTCCACAGGAAGGCATTGCTGCAGCCTCATGGGTGGACGGAGGCAAACGGAGGAGGCTCTCTGCCTTCCCACTGGTACCCAGCCTTCCCACTGGCTGGGGCATTCTTGCTAGGGACATGGCCATTTCAGTCAGTGACCCTGGGGAGGGACTGGAGAAGAGCTTGAACTTCAGAAAGGACAGGGGGCGCCAGGGAGGAAGAGCAGCTCCTGAGCCCCCAGCACAGTTCTAAGGTCCCTGGGCACTGGAGAGGCCAGCCTCCCACGTGCCCTTGGACATTTCTGGGGTCACACCACACGTGAGGAGACCCCCAGGTGGATGGAATGCATGCAGCTGGACAAGGGTATGCTCCTGGGTTCGAGGGTGCTGAAGCCCACCTTTCCCGCTTGCTGAGTCCAGGGAAGGGGCTTCCGCTTGGAGACAAATCTGTCCACCTCTTGTCATGTGGACAAAAGCTCTTTCTGCTAGCGGGGTGGTCTTGGCATCTGGAACACGTTACCTGGGAAGTGATCCCAGCTGGAAATGTTGGAGGTTTTCCAGAGAGTTGGGCAGATTGATGGACAACAGGGGGCTGGAGGCTTCCTAAGAAGGGAAGTGGGTAAGTGATAGCTTCCTGTAGTCGTAGGGCCTCTGCCACCCGGCCTTGGTTTGTTCATCTGTAAAATGGGCTCACAGTCTAGGCTTCCAAGGGTTGTTACGGAAGTCAGGGAGATGAGATCTTGTGTGATCAGGGCTTGACAAGGGCCAACCTGCCACCTCTGGTTAGGGCAGGAGTGGTGGGTGAGGGGTTGGCCTCTCCAGCGTGCTGGAGGTGAAGGCTGAGGCAATAAGGGCAGGTCATGCATGGGCCACCAGGCTGCATACGTGTCCAGGTGGCTGGAGGTGGCAGCAGCCGCATGGGCCAGGCAGCATCCCTGTGATCAGAGCACCCTGGCCCAGTGCCCACCTGCCCTCTCACTTGCTCTCACTATTTCACAGCCTCACTCCTGGCCTTGGTTTTCCCATTTGGGCAAGATGACCTCAGAGACCCTTCCAGGCCTCCCCTTCTTGGACTCTCTGCTGCTTTGGACTCAGGTGTTTTTATTTTCCAGAAACTTCGATGCTCTCAGGAAGGAAAACATTTATGAGAACAACAAACTGGTGAGTTCCCCACTCCTACCCTCAGCCCTGTGTCCCCAGCCCCAGCCCCAGCATCATCCGCAAAGCTGGCTCAGCCTGTCTGCCCTGAGCCCCCAACCCATGTCCAAGAGTTTGCTTTGAGCACCTGAGTGGCTTGAAGAGCCCTGAGGCTGGGGGCTCACTGCCAGCTCTGCATACAGTCCTAAGCTGGGTGACCCCAGTATTCAGATCTTGGAGCTCAGGCCCTACTGGTCCGCTCTTTTCCTCAGGGGAGGTGTAAGGGGGCCGGAAGTATCTAGGGACCTTCCTTTCCTGTGGGCAGCCCAGCCCAGTCCATCTACGGCAGAGCTAGGGTCCTGGGGCTGTGGGAGGGCAGGACCCCCTCGTGGGTCCTAGATGGGCCAGCTCTCATACTCACCTGTGGCTCCAGCTTTCCCAGTGCTGCCCAATTTCAAACCCTGCCCTGAGCTCCTCCACCGTGAGACCCTTCCCTGTGCCTAGCCCGTTGGGTTGCAAAATATGCTCCACTCACCCTCGTGGGCTGATGCACAAAAGGCAGAATCCACCTGCTGCTTCTGCAGGCGTTTTCCTGCCGAGTGGGTTCTGAGCACACACCTCTCCCTCCGGGTAAGCATCCTGGGAAGGGTGAGAGTGGACAGGACACGGTCAAACCTGCCTGGCCAGTTCCATCTCCACTCACTTCCTGGGTGATCTGAATTCAAATTTAACTTAGTTAGAATGAAATAAAATTTAAAATTCAGCCCTTCAGGGCCTCTGGCTCGGAGCTCCTAGGATGGATGCCGTTGGACATCTATGTGGGGAGCACGTCCCTGTGGGGGCTTAGGGAGAGGCTGGAGATAGAGACTTGGGTGGTGTGGGCTCTGGGTGGGAAACTTCAAGGCAGAGGTGCGATGAGGAGCACGGAGCCTGGGACACCTTGGTACCTGTCAGAGAGAGGAGGGGCAGTGAAGAGACTGGTGCCCTGTGTGGGCTGGGGCTGGAGTGGGGTCCATGTGCAGAGTCGATTCCAGGGACAGTGAGGGGATAGCAGAGCAGTGGGTAGATTGGAGATTTTTTGGGAGCTTTAAAAGGAGCTGGAAAAATGGGCTGTAGGTGGCAGAAATGGAGTCCATTGGCAAATTTTCTCTTTCACAGGTCAGGTTTCAGTGTGTCTGCATGGCTGGCAGGAGTGGCCCAGGGGGGCTCAGGCAGGGTAACAGAGGGAAGGGCTGTAGTGTCCAGTGTCCCCACAGTGGCCACAGGAAGGAGGCAGAGCTTGCGGCCCCATGCCAGGGTATGGGGAGTGTGGGAGGGTATCTCCTGGGGTCCCTTAAAGGGTTTGCATTTCTGTATGGAATTGATGGAGCGTGGTGGCTGAGACTGGGGTGGGGACAGGGCGCTGGGGATTTGAGCAGAAGGCCATGGGAGTGTGTTGGAAGCAGGCCCAGGGTCCTGGTGCTCGATTAGGTGGGGCTTTGATGTGACCACGTTTGGCAGCTTGCACAGGCCCGAGCAGGCGGAATCACCTGCAACCCCAACCGGGGTGTCTCCAGGTGAGTGTAAGAGTCAGGTGTGGTGCGTGGAGGGGCCATGGGATGGGATGGGCGCAGGAAGGAAAGAGCTGAGTGCTGAGGTCAAGCAAAGGATTGGTCGTGTGTTGTGTGCTGGAAGCCGAGCTGAGGTCCCTGTGTTCAGTATGCAGTTGGCACTCTGTCATGCACCTCCCCTGGCCCTCCCCAGCCTAGCGTATTGTGTCCCTGTCTCAAGGGCCCCCTCCCTTTGGCTCCCCAGTGTTGGGCAGGGCCGTGTGGGGGACAGCCTCAGAGCCCACTCACGACGAGCTCTCCCGGACACCTCCAGTCCTGCATGATCAGGGCTGTGATCTCCACTGTACAGATCGGTAAGCTGAGGCTTTGGGGGTCACGCAGACAGAGCAGAGCTCTAACTTTGAACCCAGGCCTTTCTGGGCTCAAATGATTTTTTGGAACTGAACTGGTGACCTGGCTGAGGAAGAGGGCCCCCAGTTCGCCCCACCCCTACCCTGCTGACCTCTGCCTGCCCCCTAGGCTTTCCGTGTGGCCGAGGAACAGCTGGGCATCCCGGCCTTGCTGGACGCAGAAGACATGGTGGCCCTGAAGGTGCCTGACCGGCTGAGCATCCTCACCTATGTGTCCCAGTACTACAACTACTTCCATGGCCGCTCCCCAAGTGAGTTCCAGCCGGGCTGGGCCTGCACCCTAGCCATGCATGGCAGGGCCACGTGGCTGGTGTCCCCAAGCACCATGGACCTCTCCCCAGCCTCTTACCCAGCACTTGCCACATGAGGCAGAGGGAGGTCCCCATGCCGTGTTGTCCTTTGAGAGGCCCCAGGCTTTCCCACTGCCCCTGCCCACCCTGCTTAGCGCAGGCCAGTGCATTCCCACCCCCTCTTCTCAGCTCAAGCCTTCTCCCAGCTCTGGGTCTCAGTTTTCCCATCTGGACCCCTGAGCCTCTGTGCCCATTGTTCTTGCTTCCCAGACCTGGCTTCATCTGGTCCCGATTTGGGATCCTCTGGCAGCCAGGTTGGCCCTGGCAGGACAGGGCAGGGGAGGGACAAGTCTGGGCCTTTATCCCAGCCCTTTGTGTGTGGAGCTGTTCACTCCTTCCCCCGCCCCCCACATTCCTCTTCCAGGCTTTAGAAATCCCCGGAATCACTCTGGGCATGAGGCCAGCCCCGCTTGGTAGAGAAACAGAAAAATCCCTCTTCCCTGACCCCAGATCTGGACTAGCAGGGAGGGAAGGGTTGTGGGCAGGCCAGGGTTGTGCTGGGATAGAACTGCACTCAGGGCTGCCCCTCCCCAGCTCTGTCCCCCAAGACAGCAGGAGTGTTCGGAGGTCCTGGGGCACCAAACCCATGCCGGGCACCAGGACCTGGGGGTCGGGGGACGGGGGACTGAGGCCCTTTTGGAGCCAGGGTGCAGCGCTGGCCTGGAGCCTTCCTGACCCTACTCGTCTCATGTCAGTTGGGGGCATGGCCGGCGTGAAAAGGCCCCCATCCGGCTCAGATGAGGAACCGTCTGGGAAGAAGGCGCCATCCCAGCCGGCCAAGCTGCCCTCACCCGCCCCGGCCCGGGGGCCTCCACTGTCTCCAGCCAGGACAAACCCTGTCGTGCAGAGGAAGGATGGGGGTGCAGAAGGCCCACCCCTGAAGGCCGTAAGCACCCAGCTCCGCCCTCTCTGGTTTCTTGGGTTTTCTGTTGCTCTTACTGATCAAGGCTTGTGGGACCACATCCACCCTGAAACCATGGAGCCTGAGGTGGGGGTTCCCCTGAGGGCTGGGCCACAGCCTCGGCTGCTGTTGATTAAGAAGCCTCCTGAGACTGGCTATCGGGGCATCCTCCATCCTGTATGGCAGGGGTTGTGACTTCCATTGTACTCATGAGGAACTGAGGCCGGGGGCAGGGTTCATGCAGGAGGAGCTGAACTTGAACCCAGACCTCTTTGGGGTCACAGCAGTTCCTTGCCTCTGGCCCGTGTCACCTCCCTCTTGGGGCAGGAAGAGATGCCACGTTGTGTCCTTTATTCCCAGGCCAGCTTTGCAAAGTGAATTAGGGGAGCCCACTTTTCAGAGGCGGAGGCTGAGGAGGGGGTGATCACTTGGGGTTGGGCGCCCCCTGCTGTCCCTGGGCTGTCACTCCAGGCTCCGCGGAACTGGAGCAGAACAGCCCCAGGATGTTGGGAGTTGGATTGGATTCCTGTGCCACAAAAAGGTGGGAACTGGAGGCCTTGAACCTTGAATCTAGTGGCCTGGGCATGAACCCTTCCTGCCCCTGCCTGGGCTCCTCTGGGAGCCTCCGTTGTCCTGTCTGTAGAATTGGATCTTCCGCCGCACCTGTAGGGCAGCTGTCAGGAGGGAGGGCTGGGGTAGATGACAGCTCTGATGTCGGCTGGCAATCAGCTGCTCCTGGCATCCCTCCCAAGGGCCTGGCATCAGCGGGCAGCTCGGTCAGCAGCACCTGCGGAGTCTGCGGCAAGCACGTGCACCTCGTGCAGCGGCACCTGGCCGACGGGAAGCTCTACCATCGCAGCTGCTTCAGGTGGGCTCCCTCCTGGCACGCCACACCCCCCATGGGACTCCATCTCCCTCCTCCTCGGCCTCACCTATTGCCAGTGGCCCGATATGTTCGTGTTCTCAGACACCTCTGGGCCAGGTGCCTTCTCGCTTAGCCCCAGTACCTCCTCCAGGGTCCTTGCAGAGACACCGTAGCCGTCTTTTCAGAAATGCTGACTGAGCGTCCCTTCATTGGCTCTCAGCCGTCTGTACTTAGGCTTTTCCCTCTGACCGTCCGCCCTGCACCTGCTGGGTGGTGGCTCCTGGAGGGCAAGCACCTCCTTCTCATATGTCTTCGCCACTCTGCATGGTTGGGGTGGGTCAGGCCCCCAAAGTGGGGCACAGGGTGGCATGCATGTGTGTGTGTGTATGTGTGTATGTATATCTTTGACATGCACAAACACTTTCTGGGGGGTCTGTAGATCTATGACTCAAAATGATTACGTACCATGAGAGGAGGTGTTTGCTGAATGAATCAGTGACCACATGAGTGAATACAGGAATACGTAAGTTTGGTGCTTAGGAAACCATGAATGAGTGAACAGGTGGGTAGATGAGTGACCGAGTGGACAAGGCACACAGACCTGGAGTTCTGCATGACTCCCCCACAGGTGCAAGCAGTGCTCCAACACGCTGCACTCAGGGGCCTACAGAGCCACCGGAGAGCCAGGTGTCTTCGTCTGTACCAGCCACCACCACAAAGCCACCTCTGCAAGCCCCAAGTTGCCAAGTTCGGCCCCCAAACAGCCAGAGGTCATCCCTACGGACTCCAGGGCCCCCAGCACCCTGTGGAAGGCCCAGGAGGCGAATGGGCTAAGGGAAGCAGGGCCAAAGGCCAGGCCACCAGCTGGGAGGTCTGCAGTGGGCAACTTGACTGCCAAAGGCTTTGCTCTGGCTGCATCTGATCCCTCGGTCACCACCTCCTCGCATGGCCATCCAGGGAGCCCAGCTGGGCCCACATTCTCCACAAGCCATGTGATGGATGGCAAAACTGGCACGCGTGTTACCAACAGCTCCCCAACAGGATGGTCGTCGCCTGCCCAGGACACGGTTGACTCCCATCCTGCCGTGCCCCCGAGTACCCTGAACCCTTACCCAGCCACACCACAAGGCAAGGGAGCCCCCCACGTAGCAGCTCTTCAGACCAAGCTCAGTTTGAGCTCTGCATCCCCAGGCAGAGGGGACTCCCCAGCATGGACTCCATCATCCTCCAAGACCCAGCAGGCTCGGGAGAAGTTCTTCCAAACCCCTGGAGCCACCCCCAGCAATGGCCCAGCTGGCAGGGTCTCAGCTCCAACAGATGCTCTTTCCAGGGAGCAAGCACTGAGCTTCCTCAGGAAGGCCCTTCCAGGGCTGGGGGAAGCCAGTCCCCAGGCGCCTGGCAGGTGGGTAAAAAAAGAGAGGGGTTAGGGGTACGGTCCTCCTGGCCCACCAGTCACCAAGAGGTCAAGAGGAGTTGGAGGCAGCTGGGGGTGATCTGGGCTGTTTCTCCCCAGCTACGGGGCTGTGGGGACTGCACTTCTCCCAGCCTCAGTTTCCTCAGCTGGTACGCGGGAGAGGGGATAGGCGCTGCAGCGTGTGGTGATCTGGGAGGCGGGAGGCAGGTTATGACTGGAGAGCCACTGCCTGCATGCTCAGCAGGGCTCAGGGGCAGCGATGCTGCTGCCCTGGGGCTGCTGTGCAGTACGTGGCCGGCGCCCGAGGACCCCGTGGCTATTTTCCGGATGAGGAAATGGAAGTGGCAAGCGGGGATGCCAGCTGGCTGAGCTGGCTTGAGCTGGGCACTGACCTTCCTTGCCCACACCTTCCACATCCTGGGCCCCAAAAGATGGTACTGATGGAAAGGGGGAGGGTCCTGTGCTGTTCTCAAGGCTCCTCTCACAGGTGGCTTAGACACCGAGATGTCTCCGCTCATGGTTCTGAAGGCCAGATGTCCTGTATCACAGTGTGGGCAGGCCATACTCCCCCGAGGGGCTCTAGGAGAGGGTCTCTCTCTGCCTCTTCCAGTTTCTGGTGGCCCGGGCATTCCTTGGCTTGTGGTTGCATCTCTGTAGTCTCTGCCTCCATCTTCACATGGGTCTCTCTCTGTGTCTCTCTTCTCTTCTGTCTCTTATAAGGACACCCATGATTGGACTAGGGTCTGCTCAATCCAGTGTGACTGCATATTAATACCATCACGTCTGCAAAGACCCTAGTTCCAAGTAAAGGCACGCTGAGTTTCCCGGTGGACATGGATTTGGGGTGCACCCTTCAGCCCAGTAGGTTGCCTGGCGAGTAAGAAGACCCCTTCCCAGGCTGGCCTGCACGCTGTTTGCTGCCCTTTATTTTAGTGTGGGGCAGTCCCCGCTCAGAGCCGCCTGATGTTCCCTTGCTGGGTCAGTAGTGGTGCTGGGCTCCCAGGGTAGCCACTGGGATGTGCCGAGAGCCAGCCTGCCCTGTCTCTCCTGGGACTGGGGTATGTCAAGGCATCCTGGGGGCCCGAGACTCTTGGTGGACCCTCCAGCAAGTGTTTCCTGGGGTGGGGAGCCCAACCTGCTCAGCCCTGGGCCCAGAGTAGGGGAGGGAGAAGGGAGGAGGGAATTGGTTGCATCGGGAGATAGGGGATCTGCAGAAGCTGTTCCATCCCCCCTTCCCCGGCAGAATGCAGTCCTGGCTTTGGGAGGTCACCTGGTGTCCCCACCCTGGGCTTCCATGCTGGCAGCCTTTCTGGTGTGCCCATCCCTGGGAACACAGGGTGGCTTGGAGCTGTGCAGCATGTATGCAGGCCTCCTGCCTGGCTGGGCTGCAGAGCCTGAAGCCCCTCAGGACTGAGCAGGGCAGGGCCTCCGGGGCCAGGTCTCCAGTGCTTCTGGGCCCTGGCCCCTGTGCATGTGTGTTTTGGGGCATTTACGTCTCAGCTGGCCTGGATTTAATGGGAAGGCAATGGCAGTCACCAGCATATGCAGTGCTAGAGCAGAGGCCCATCCCTCCCTGGGCGGATCTGTCCTCCACCCAGAGGGTGGGCACTGGGAGCTAGGAACTAGGTATCAGCGCAACACGGAGGGGTTTCCACCTAGGGATGATGGTGGGGGCTGCTGGATCCACCTGTGCCTGATGCCAATCTCTTACCCACAGGCCATCCCCAGTCACCTCCCCTGCCCCAAATTCCCATCCCAAAACTGAAGGGCCACAAGCAAGTCCCTCAGTCAAGCTGTCACAGTCAGCGTCTCCACAGCTTCTTAGTCCCCGGTTGAGGACAGAGCCAACAGCCGCCCCGAACAAAGGCAGCTCCTCTCAGGCGTCCACATCGCCCCAGGTGGGCAGGAGTTTGGCTGAGTCCTCAGGAGGTGGCAGGGTGTGTGCTGGCTCCAGGTTGAAGCCAGAGGCCCCAGCAGCAAAGGGTAAGAGCCCCCTTGTGGGGTGGGTGGAGGATGCGGGTTGTAAGAGGCTGCGGGGGTCTACTGTCGACGGGGTCACCAACACCCAGGGTCTCCCTGTGTTGTGGCTGGCGGGCCCCCGGG